AGTTTGTCAATAAGATTGTCTTGATGATTTCTAGGTCAAATTCGAAGATGGGTCATCTACGGTCAAAAACTAGGTCTAAGTAGGAGCTAAAATTAGAAAAAAAGCTTCTTAAAGTTCCAGTTGCTGAAGTTTTGATCCTAATTCCTTTGAAATTTGTCAGAAACGTTGTTTTCATTATTTCTCGGTCAAGTTCGAATATAAGTCATCCCCGGTCAAAAACTAGGTCACAGAAGCTAAAAATAGAAAATGATTGCTTACACTCTATTGGCTGCACTTTATATCAAAATATTCTGAAAATTTGTAAGGGAGATTGTTTTGATGATTTCTAGGTCAAGTTCGAAGATGGGTCGTTTCCGTCAAAAAGAAGTTCACGCGAGCTAAAAATCGAAAAGTCTTGTTCACATTCTAGTGGCTGCAGTTTTCATCCAAATATTCTGAAAATTTATCAGGAACCTTTTTTTATGATTTCTAAGTCAAATTTGAAGATGTGTTATGTCCTGTCAAAATCTATGTCACAGGAGCTAAAAAAAGAAAAAGCTTGTTAACACTCCAGTGGCTGCAGTGTTGATCCACATTTTCTTGAAATTTATCAGGAGGGTGATTTGGATGTTTTTTGGGCAAATTCGAATATAGGTAATCTCCGGTCAAAAACTAGGTCACAGGAGCTAAAAATAGAAAAAAGGTTGTTAACACTCTAGTTGCTGCAGTTTGATCCAAATATTCTGGAAATTTGTCAAGAAGGTTGTTTAAATTGTTTCTAGGTCAAATTCGAAGGTAATAAACTAATTTCCAGGAACTAAAAATACAAAAAAACTTGTTAACACTCTAGTGGTTGCTGTTTGATCCAAATAGTCTGGAAATCGGTCAGGCAGGTTGTTTTGATGATTTCTAGGTGAAGTTTGATGATGGGTCAAAAACTAGGTCACAGGAGCTAAATAGAAAAAGCTTGTTAACACTCTACTGGCTGCACTTATATCCAAATATTCCGGAAATTTGTCAAGAAAGATGTTGTGGTGATTTCTACGTCAAATTCGAAGGGTCAGAAACAAGGTCACAGGAGTTAAAAATAGAGAAATCTTTTTAACACTCTAGTGGCTGCAGTTTTGATTCAAATATTCTGGAAATTTTTCAATCAGATTATTTTGATGATTTCTAGGTCAGGTACGAAGATGGGTTATCTCCGGTCTAAAAGTAGGTCACATGAGCTTAGAATAGAAAAATCTTGTTAACACTCTAGTTGCTGCAGTTTTGATCCTAATATTCCGAAATTTGTCAAGAAAGTTGTTTTGAGGATTTCTAGGTCAAGTTCGAAGATGGATCATCTCCGGTCAAAAACTAGGGTACAGGAGCTAAAAATAAAAAAGCTTGTTTACACTCATGTGGCTGATTATTTGATCCAAATTCCCTGGGAATCGGTCAGAAAGGTTGTTTTGATGATTTTAAGTCAAGTTTTTCGATGGGTCATATCCGGTCAAAAACTAGGTCACAGGAGCTGGAAATAGAAAAAGGTTGTTAACACTCTAGTGGCTGCAGTTTTGATCCAAATTTCCTGGAAATCGGTCAGGAAGGTTGTTTCGATGAATTCTATGTTATGTTTCAATATGGATCATCTCCGGTCAAAAACTAGGTAGTTTGTCTAGATATTGGACAATCTTTTAAACACACTAGAGGTCACATTTTTGACGCAATTTTCATCAAAGTTGGCCAGGATGCTTGTCTAAGACCTTGCTTGGATGTGGTTGAGGGGTCAGGGGAGCAATCTAGGGCCATCATGGCCCTCTTGTTTGTAGTATACATGTATATTATGTATGTATTTTAGTTCTGAACATGAATTTGAAAGCTTAAATTAGATAGATGACCTTAACTTTGTTAAAGTTCGAAAATCTATATTTATAGAAGTAGTTCAAGTCTAAACGAAACGGTCATTTGTGTCGCGCTGTAATAATAAATTACAAAATGGAGAATTTTGCAGGAAATGAAATGCAAACATATTCAACAATAAATTGCAATCTTTATAAATTGATCAGACCATTTTTCTCTAATTTTCATATCATAGTATTATCATTTGAAATTGTCTTTTACGTAGTTTCTTTCCGGTATATAGCTCCTTATTTTTTACGGCCCTGATCGCACTTCTGAGATTTTTTATCGTGATTCATTAAATCGACCCTGATTTCTCGCCATTTTTTATTCTATTTTGTGAAGCAATCGTTTTTGTTTTTTTTGGTGGTTTATATGGAATGTTGATTTGCCGAATACTGTTACATGTAACAAGAGAAACTTTTGTCTGCAGCTTGAACATGAAGTGTTATTGGGTTTATAGGAATGTAAACACATAAGGTTTTGTTGAAATTCAACAAAATAGCAGATTGATCTCCCAATAAATCAATTAACAATAGCTCTTTATATATCAACAATGTCAAGCAGCTTTTATATTTTTGACTCCAACGAACATGATATTAGTGAATTTCTTTATACCTGTCTAAAATTCAGGTAACAGTCTTTCATTATATTGATAAATAATGTTTCACCATATAACGCGTATAACACACAAATTCCTGAATTTTTGTGTTTTTAGCTCACCTGAGCAAGCTCAGGGTGAGCTTTAAGGATTGTTAAATGTCTGTCGTCCGTCCACACTTGTTCGTTAACACTCTTGCGGCTCACTTTTGCCTCAATCATCATCAAACTTTGTCAGGATGCTTGTCTAAGAACTAGCTTGGATGAGTTTGAACATGGGTCATCTCGAATAAAAAAATAGGTCACAGGAGCATAAAATAGATAAACCTTGTTAATACTCTAGTGGTCACATTTTTGACTCAATCATCATCAAACTTGTCAGAAATGCTGGTCTAGCTAATTTATTGGATGAGTTCTCGAACATGTGGTTCATCTCGGATGAAAAATTAAGCCGTCCATGAGCTTTTTAAAATAGAAAAAACTTTTGTCAAACACCACTACCGGTCACATTTTTTGACTTCAATTATCAATCAAACTTAAGTTAGGATGCTTCTCTAGGTCGTTGCTTGGATGAGTTCGAACATAGGTCATCTCGGATGAAAAACTAGGTCACAGGAGCTAAAAATTGAAAAACCTTGTTTACACTCTGGTGGTCATATTTTTGACTCAAATGCATCAAACTTGGTCAGGATCCTTGTCAAGGTTATTGCTCGAAAGAGATTGAAAATGGGTCATTTCGGATGAAAAACTAGGTCACACCGCCAAATAATGGAAAAACCTTTCTCACATTTTTTACTAAACTATCATTTAACTTGGTCAGGATGCCTGTCTAGGTATTTGCTGGGATGAGATTGAACATGGGTCATCCCGGATAAAAAAACTAGGTCACAGAAGCTAAAAATGAATTGTTAACACTTTAGTGGTTACTGTTTTGATCCAAGTATCCTGAAAATTGGTCTGAAAGTTTGTTTTGATGAATTTTAGGTCAAGTTGGAATATGGATCACCTGGGGTCAAAAAATAAGTCACACATCTCAAATATGGATAATCCTTGTTAACACTCTAGTGGTCACATCTTTGACTCACCTGTTATGAAACTTAGTCAGAATGCTTGTCTAGGTAATTGTTTGGATGAGTACGATGGGTCAGGTGAGCGATCTAGGGCCATCTTGGCCTTTTGATAAAATTCATCCCCTTTTTTAGCTCACCTGACCACGAAGTGGTCAAGGTGATGTATAGTGATGGGGCTATGTGCGGTGTCCGTCGTCGTACGTCGTTCGTCGTCAACAATTGGGTTTAAAACAATCTATCAGTCACAGTTTTGATTGGATCATTATCAAACTTTGTCAGAATGTTTGTCTCAATGAAATACAGATCGAGTTTGAAGACGGGTTATCTCGAGTGAAAAACTCAGTCACAGGAGCTAAAAATAGAAAAACCTTGTTAACACTCTAGTGGCTGCAGTTTTTATCAAAATATTCTCGAAATTATTCAGGAAGGTTGTTTTAATGATTTCTAGGTCAAGTTATAAGATTGGTCACCTCCGGTCAAAAACTAGGTCAAAGGAGCTAAAATCATAAAAAAAATCTTGTTTACACTCTAGTGGCAACAGTTTTGATCAAAATTTCCTGGAAATCCGTTAAGAAGTTTCTTATGATGACTTCTAGGTCAAGTTTGAATATGGGTCGTCTCCGGTCAAAAACTAGGTCACACTGCCCAAATTTGGAAAAAACTTTTAAACACACTATAGGTCACATTTTTGACTCAATTCTCATAAAACTTTGCAAGGATGCTTGTCTATGACCTTGCTTGGATACGCTGAATGGGTCAGGGGAGCGATCTGGCGCCATCATGGCTGTCCTTTTGTTTTTCATTCCAGTTTTTATCGAACTTAATGTACTGTATCTTAAATCCCAGGTATTAATAGAATCCATTTTTTTTTAATTTGACATGAAAAAAATGCTTGATATATTACTATATTTGTCCCTTTTGTTACTATTTGAAAATACATTAAATATTCTAATCTCTAGCACACCTAAAAAGTTCATGATGAACAATGTCTTTTGTCCTCCCATTCAGCCATTTATCTATGATATAAAACTCCGGTAAAATCCAATTTAACATTGAAAACTTTATAAGTATATTTTGTCATCAAATGTCTACTAGTTCATCCTCATTTGCTGCATTTGTTGCTTGGACGCCCTTTGATGCTTTGCATCATTTTTCCTTGTAATATCATGCTTTTCCATTTGCGGCAAAACATGCAAAGGACATTTAAAAAAGTAAAGTCTATGAACGTATTTGTTTTGGCACATTTACATATTGATTTTTATATTTCTTACCATGATTAGTTGTTGATATTTGTAGAAAATGAGTAGCATTATAGGTGAAAAACAATGTGCCAAATGCTTTGATATTTTTATCATCTTATATTACTGTATTACTGTTATTATTAGTAACACAAACAGAACAATGTTGCACTACTGTCTTGTCACATTATATATATGTATATTATGACATAATTATTTTGTTCATAAACAGAAGAAGAAAATGAGGAAAAACATGAAATGCCAAATCTTTGTTCATCCAATGGCAAACTTATAAAGCTGAATGATTGTCAACTGAAAGGGATTCTACAAAACTGTGAAAAGTCACCTGTAGTAGGTGGGTTTGGAAAAGTTCACATATGTAAGTCAAAGTTTGACCTTGACATTTTGTTTGATTTAATATTTGTCTTAAGGAATTTCTGTAGACATATATATTAAAGTTGAAGTTTAAACTACGATTAAAGTATATAGTTACAAGTTTATTTCCGTTTTTTAGGTAAGTTTACTGACATTAACTGTATTTCTAGAAACCTTCGTTGATACAATATTCCATATTTTACTTAATGGTGGCGTTTTCATGGAGATGACCTTTCATGCAATAAAAGCGCCCGCATCTTTTCAAATATCGTAAAGAATATGTATTATTAATATTATCGCCATGGATTTTCTCTTAATTGAACAAATCAACCTTTGGAAAGATTGAACTGACCTTGACCTTCAGCTCCATTTAATTTCCTTCCAAATGGATTCCTAATGAAGGACATAATCCTGCAAAATAAAACAGGACACACTTTGAGCACATTTAGTCCAAAATTATCTTGGGAGCAAACTTAATTTATATACACATGTAAAAAGTTCCTGACGTTCACGACAAACATAGTCAATTGTCACAATATCTGTCAAGAAACTTTCCGGAATCCGGAATCGGATTTCAAAGTAATAATTGTATGATGATAAAGGTCTTATCTTGTTTTAACCTTAATTATAATCAATATACTTGTATCTATATCAATATATCATTTCCTAACTTTTTAACAAAAATACAGCACAAATACATTTGTTTTCTTATGTGCTTAAACGATCATTGATCCTGGGCGTCCCTGACTACGTAATTATATTTTTATTTCCCTGTCTTCTTTTTCTGTCAAATTCAATGCCAGGGCGTAGACATTTACATGGTTCTAGAAATAATACGGATTCATGCATTCCATGGTATATATAGATATGGCAAAATGACAGACTATCTGCTTTCAAAGCAAAAATGTCAATTTGCACTTTTTTAAGCGAAACTTCGGATTATTTTACAATTTATATATTTGGAAAGACATTTTGAAATATACGTACAATGGTATATAACAGTTAATCTATTTGAAGCGCACGCTTTTTTTTAACCATTACTAAGCGAGAGAAATGTTATTTTAGATTTTATCTGTGATTCAGTCCATGTAATGTATATCCTATGGACATACTTCTAGCTAATTATAATAATTATTTTTACTACTTTCAAAGTATAAAATGTAATTTTGTTGTTTTTTCTTTTTCAAGCAAAGACAAAAGTACCCGGTTTAGATATTCGTGTCATTGTGAAGGAGATAATATGTGAAGACACTGAATTAACCAAGATTTCTACGACATTCAACGTAAGAACTTCAATTTTTACCAAACACAGTTTGTGCAATTCTAAAATAACAAAGAAAAGAATATGGATTTGTTAAAGATCCTGAATAATGTAAAAAGGTTGTTACGACACTAAAGTGAAAATTTATATATGCATAACATATAATTATGCTTCTAAAACATTTTTCTAACATCTAAGAATATGTACACATAAAATATGTACTGCAAATATTTGTCCACATTAAGTGTAATCATTTTATTACATGCATTCATTTATTAGTGAAAACTCTTAATAGACTGTATAGAAAATAAATGTAAAATTACCTCTCTTTTTTAACATGAAAATGTAAATTCGGTAATTTCTTTACAAATAATGCTTTTTGGAACTTACAATATTGAAAAATCTTCATTTGAGCATATATTTTAAAAATATATATAAAAAAAAAACCATACAAAATTGAGTTACATGATCTTTAATCATCATGCCGTCACGCAATATTTAATTTTGTTGTAGGAGAAGATATCAAGACGGGTTATGCATTTTGCTATTGTTCCATTGATTGGGTTTATAAATCAAGAAGTTGTAAAAAAAAACAATATTCAAAGGTAAAATCTTAACTGACTTTTAATTTAAAAATATCAGCCAAATTAAGATTTTAATATTCTGTTTAATGGCCCCCATCCAAGCTTTAGTGATGGATGGAGGGCATTATTGGAGTAAGCCGGAGGCTGAGCATGTTAACAAAGCATTTCAATGCATAGAACCATTAGCATCGTTAATTTAAGGCATCATAAATCAAGTAGAGTATGTTCCAATACATTGACGGAAGTCAGCAAGCGGGAGTAATCATATTTTAAAGAAGTAATCTTGTTTGTTGCAACAAGAACTATGGTTGGGATATTGAAATTGTAAAACAATATACTGAGTGTAACCATGGGTGGGTGTTTACATACTCCGGCTTACTCAAATAATGCCCTCCATCCATCACTAAAGCTTGGATGGGGGCCATTATTTTCCGTAACCTATCGGCTTTCACATGTTAGCATAGCATCTTTAAAGAGCAACAAAACAAACACAATGTACTCTTCAACTACCATATTTAATATCAGTAACTCATGAATAAGGTAATATAAATTCAATTTACATCAACGAAAAACTGACTGAATATAAGATACGTTTTCACTGTTCATCGAATTTCTCTGGTAAAACTTCCTAAAATTCTTATCAGACGTCCAATTGGCAGTATCTAAAAAAACGCTTCAATGAACATTACCACCTCGACTTGCAGCCTTAGAAGTTGATGCGCTTCTGTAACTGTGAGCTTTAAACACAGTTTTATCAATACCTGATTGACTCAAAACATTTTTAGCCATCTGGCTATAGTACTAGTAGTAACTTATTTAAAATATACGTAAGAAACAAACACATTCTTATCCAGTCTAAACTGAGATGTCTTTTCCAAATAAAACATAAGGTATGTATTTGACAAAGTTTCTCATCAAAATAATGTTCAATCTTCATAGAGAAATCATTACCTCGTCTAGAGGTCTTCAAAAACACAAGAAAACAAAAGTTCATGTTGTGCTTCCATCATATAATTAATGTCCATTGCAACTAATGTTTGTGCCCTTGGGGCTGCTGCTCGAGCAACTAACGGTACAGTTTTCATTGAAAATGAAAGGGATTTCTTTACACCACTGGTTACCAAAAAACGGTAAAGTTTGCGTCAACATAGCCTTGTGAATATAATACAAATAATTTAAAACTACAACATTAGAACCCTTGAATGAATGTGTACCCCTTGTATAATGCAAAAGTGACCAGTGTTGCCAGGTGTAATCATATTGCTTTGCTCCATGATGCCAAGATGATGTCAGTAACAGGTCTCGAAACTCCTGAACACTGCAACACCTTTGTAATACATCTGATACAACCACTACGTACAACCTCATATCCAATGGATGACTCTCTATTATGTGAAAGAGATATAAAATCTTTATGTCTAGGTAATCTGATAGGCATTGAAATCATTTTATCTAAACGTACGGGAAATCATGGCTGTGAACTTCAGTAATCGGAAGACTAAAATTTCCTGTTCCACATTATCTTGCATGATTTTTTACATAACTTTTCCAATTAAACTGAATGGAGGAAAAATGTATGGCTTTAAACTATTCCGACTCATTCAAAAAGCATCACAATATAAAGAACTAGGTTCTGGGAACCAAGAAACAAAGTTTTCTAGTTGGTTATTGAGCCTAAACAAATCTATATCTGGCATGAAATTACCAATTCTATCAAAACTGGATTTCTTGAGCATCCATTCAGACAAATCGGAAAAAATCTGCTGTAATAGTCTACAGTATTCACAGAACCAGGGATATGTACAGCAGATAAAAATATATTCCTTGTTAAACACAATCTCCAAATATTTCCTGCTAAATCATCCATGGAAGACATACCCCCATGTCATAAACATAAGTAATAGCAGAATTGTTATCAGATTGAATTTGGACATGAACATCTGACTCCTTACTATGTCGGCCAGTATTTAAGTCTATACAACCCCAGCCCAGGTAACTCGCATCTGTTCTACAGATAAGTGCAACAGGTTTTGTCTAATATTTTTCCCATTTTTAACATGAACAAAGTAAACCACCAATGTAATTTTAACTTACTTTTGTCATATAACGACATCTAATTGTCAAAATTTTTACTATCACCCAAACCTAAAACTTTATCTCTTTCTAAATTTCTGTAATAGAGATGAGCCTCTAACACTGCAAAGAAAGCATTTACAACTGAACCTATAAAAGAGCCAAGTCACGTACAACAACAAGTTTTTTTATCTAACTTCGAACTCTTACTTATAATTTGATCAATCTTTTATCTGTCAAGTAAATTTTCAATTTTACACTGTCTACTATAAAGCTAAAATGTTATTTTTGAGTAGGAATGACCACTGACTTTTCTCTTTTCACCATGAACCCTAATCTTTTTTAAGTTTGATCGATAGACAGAGTATTATCTTGGCACACCATTTTACTCTGATGTAAATTTTAGGAACCATCAATACAATAAAAGCATCTTATATTTTGATACCGAAACCAAGCATATACTGGTTTTAGAATTTTGGTGAACACAAAAGTTGCTTATTTAAACCCAAATGGGAACAAAACAAATTCAAATAATTTATCTATCAATGAAAATTTAAGAAACTTTTGATGATCTGGATGTATAGGCACAGAAAAATATGCATCTTTTCAGATCAAAATAAGTTAAACTAGAAGTGTGTCATCATGCCACGGATGCCCCCGCATGCAGCCAAAATTTAAGATGCTATAATTTTTAGTTCCAAATTTGTTTGCACAAATTATTTTTTTCATTTAAGTTCAAAGTCCTTAAAACTTTTCAATGTTAACACAAACCATTTTCATACAATGTTCAAGGCACTGAAATTATTCAGTCTTAACGTTTTGAAAATAGCATATTTCATATTTGTAGCCAAAATAATTGCTTCATACATTTCCACAAAAGTATGAGTGCTGAAACTGAAAGTTCGAATTTTTTCCAAAATTCAAGAAAGATAAGTTTGTCCAAAATCATTGAACCACGACCAAATTCAAACTTAAACTGCATTTCCTTAGATGTATCTATATTATTTTCAAAGTGAAAGGGACATAACTCTGCCAAAAAATCATCAAACCATGACTAAATTCCAACTTCACCTGCCCATTCCTTTGACATATCCATATGTCAAATTTGAGTTGAATATGTAACACTCTTGGGTGGTAATGAACATAAATTGTAAATTTCATATTATTTTCAAAGTGAAAGGGACATTACTCTGTCAAAAATCATTGAACCATGGCCAAATTCCAACTTGGCCTGGGCATTCCAAAACATATCCATATGTGAAATTTGAGTTGAATGTGTTGTACCGTTGGGGAGATAATGAACAGAAACTGAAAATTTCATATTATTTCCAAAGTGAAAGGGGCATAACTCTGCCAAAAATGATTAAACCTTGACCAAATTTGTACTTGACCTGCGCATTCCTTTGACGTATCCATATGTTAAGTTTGAGTTGAATTTGTTGTACTGTTGGGAAGATAATGAACGGAAACTGAAAATTTCATATTATTTTCAAAGTGAAAGGGGCATAACTCTGCCAAAAATCATCAAACCATGACCAAATTCAAACTTAACCTGTATTTTCTCATGTAATATCCATATGTCAAATTTGAGTTGAATGTGTTGTACCGTTGGGGAGATAATGAACGGAAACTGAAAATTTCATATTATTTTCAAAGTAAAAGGGGCATTACTCTGCCAAAAATAATTGAACCATGACCAAATTCGAACTTGACCTGTATTTTCTCATGACATATCTATTTGTTAAGTTTTAGTTGAATGTGTTGTACCGTTTGTGAGATAATGTATGGAAACTGAAAATTTCATATTATTTTTAAGTAAAAGGGGCATAACTCTGCTAAAAATAATCGAACCATGACCAAATTCAAACTTGACCTGTATTTTCTCATGACATATCCATATGTCAAATTTGAGTTGAATGTGTACAACCGTTACTAAAATAATGAACGGAAACTGATGATGACGGAATGACAGAATGACGGAAGGACGGAAGGACGGAACAGGGTAACACTATATGCCCCGGCCATTACATGGCGGGGGCATAAAAATCCTTTTCCTGTATCAAATCTAAAATAGATTTAAATGTTTCCTGCTTAAAATGATCATTATGTGCAAACTCATTTAAGTATTTTAAATTTATAACAGGACGGTATTTACCGTAAGGCTTTGGAACAATAAATAAAGTGGATATAAAATCACCTTTTTCACGTTCTGAAGGAATAATAGCACCCTTACTAATCAAAGATTTGATTTCATTATCAACAATAAGCAATTGAGACACATTAAAAGGAATCTAATTAGGAATTCTATTCTGATACGGATGTGTATCAAAATCAATTATACAATATCCAGAAATGGCCCTTAAACCAAATCATCTTGTGTAATTTCTGACCATTTATATAATGATACTTTAATTTGAGTTACTTACCTCTGAAATTACTGTTTGTAGTTTTAAAACTGTTTGTTGTTTGGGGGCGTCTGAAACGTGAAAGAAAAAGTGCCAATCTACAATTCCGTCTAAAAAGAGCCCTGTTTCTATATCCTCCTCTTTGAGGGTATGACTAATATCGATTGTCATCATAACTTGCATTACCATGGAAATAACGATTGTGACTAAAATCTCTATAAGAACCTCTGCGGCTAACCTTTACACCAACTCGAAACTTGTTGTAATAGCCATCATATTTTCCTAATAGAGTCATAGAATGACAAACACTTGATCTCCGAAGAGTAAATCAGTAATTGGTTGTAAAATTTTACACAATGGAGTTTGTTTGTCCCAATAAGGTAAGTGCATCACTTATTTACACTTAAGCCTCACTATTAGTGGATATTTGCGGCTTCAGAGTCTAACAAAGTTTAATCATGGGTACCATGGTTCCTGGTACCAAATTTTGAATCCGTACAAAAGAACGGTCTTGCACTTAGGCTTGTTTAGTCATAGCTTGCTATATTTCAGCAATCACTAAAGGTTCACCTGCCTTGTTACAATTTTTCTGATAAACTATATTTGTTCAACAAAGTATCAGTCTCACACTATGAAGTACAGGCAACATTCAGCATTTTAGCCAGTGATTAAGAAATTGCCTTTCCTTTAGCAGGAGTCTTAGAACTAGGGAGGTGCCATTCCTTGTCATTTAATACATCATACATTGCTTCATTCATATTCAAATCACGAGAATTCACGTTTTTATCAAAATGATCACCTCAGAGATCTCTAAGATTGAATTTAAGTCTCATATTAGGAAGTCTTCTTGCATCCTGACCTAAAGAAAGTCAACATCGTTTTCCGTGTCACTAGAGAATACACCACGTCTAGAACTAAAATCAGTATTTTGCACATTTTTATTCTGCACCTTTTCATTAGCTAATTGGCCACTAAGTCCAAAAGTTCTTTCAAATTATCGATGTCATCCTTTGACATATTAGATAGGTCAACCTAGAAGAACTCTGTTGGCTAGTGCCAGCTTTAGGGTTGTTAGGTTTTTCAACACCTTTTTTTTTACTCTTTGAGCCTTTATTTTGCACTTTCTCCTTCAGAGCGGCTTTCACGGTAGATTTTATTTTAGGTTTTGACTTTGACTTCATCAGAGTCTTCTTTTTACCACTTTCCTCGTCAGATGAAAATCCCGAGAAGAAGCTACTCTCCGCATCATCTTCGTTTTGATCTGAGGGCATTATAAATAAGCAATAAAATTAGCTTGTATTACATACACAGCTGCCTCCCAATTATAACTATACAAACAATACACGAAAAAGACACACTTACCAATGAAATTAAACACCAAAAAACTCAAAAAAATAATTAACAAAGCACGTGCATTTTACTGGATCGCTAGATTGAATATGATTACTTCCGCTAGCTGACTTCCGGTCAATGTATTGGAACATATTCTACGTGATTTATGTTGCGATAAATTTGCGATGTTAATGGATCAATGGATTGAAATGCTATGCTTACATGTGAAAGCCGAAGGCTTACGGAAAATAATGTATTACCAGAAGCATATTAAAATGTATATTACCGGAACCTTGAATAACATATTTTTAAGAAATTAGCTTTAATCAAATTTGTTCTTTGTCCTGAACCATATGACACAAGAGTTATCCCGCATTATGAATACAAATTAAGAATTTCTTAACTTATAATGGAGGTAGGGAAGGACATTTAAGGGGTTTCAAACACATTTTTACGGTTACAACTGCGTCTAATTGCACTTCCATATAGTAAGTTTATCAAATTTGATCACTTAAATGCAAACGATAATAATGGTTAATTTGTGTTTATACCCTACGATTACATGACAAAAAAACATATACTTGTCGAGTTCCAGTTATGGAAGCTCTATAATGCCATTTCAATTACCATTTAAATATTGAATAGCCTGCTTGTGTGTGTCGGGATGCTGCGTCCTATGAACGTTGCCTTTACCTTGTTGATCTTTATTCTTGCTTTTAAGGCCTTATTTCGTGACGTTTTAGATTCCATGGTAAAACATTTGTTCCTATTCGAAGCGTATTATCATATATACGATTTCTCACAAGATGATGTTCCTTACGTACAAGGTTTTGTTGATAAAAAAAAACTTTTACACATTTCTGCAAAGAATACCCGAAAGTCCTTTAAACCTATCTATGACTTTCAGTTTCTTAATGGTCTTGTTTGCAAAAAAAAACATAAATTCTGTGTTACGAAGGTCAAATATAAAAGCCATGAAAGATTTTATATGGACGTCTATGATAAAGATGCCAATATTATGGTTAATTTTTGTGTTTTAATGATGAAGAAATAAAGCTTATTTTCATTCATTTCGATACAAAATTATACGGTCTCGTGTGACTTACTAAAGCTGCATATGCAATTTTCACACAATTCAAACAATTTTCTCGAAAACCATAAAACATAGGACAATACACTTGGTATTTATATATTTAAAGAAAGTTAACGCGCACATGAAAGGCTAGGTAAAATTTGGATTTAGGAAACGTTTCTCACCTAAATGTATAAAAGGTAAAGAACTTACAAAGGCTCAGAAGTCGCCATTGCTCATTTGTATTACTTTACAAAGTCCCGTGATCCCCCGTGAGTGTAAAAAGTATGAATATTTAATAAGGGAGCTATATGATTTAGTACTTACAACCTCAACATAAAATGTGGAGCCAAAAATCAAACCTTAACATTGAAGCGTAAAGTGTTTACTACCACGGACAATGAGTAGAACAATTCATATGTCATAAGTCTTGACTGTTGTATTATTATATAGCTGTCTTTTGTTTTGCCATTTCATCTTATTTTATTTGACTTAACCAAAAGTTTTTGTTTTAAATATTTCATAATAAAGGATCACCAAAAGATACTATTTCCTGTCACCATATCTTGAAAACGGAAGTTTGCGCTTATGTTTAGAGAGAGATGCCAGCGAAGAAGATATTAAAATGAAACATAGGCGTCGTATTGAAATACTTTTTCAAGTTGCGTCGGCTATTCATTATCTACATTCACCTGTTAAAGGATACAGGTATTTTTTTCCTATGCTATGTATCATACTGTAGAACTTTGAAAATAGGAGCATGTTTTAAAGTAAATAATGCAGAAAATAGGCTTTTATTTTTTACTGTTCAATGAAATATGTTATTATTTGCGGTTGATTATCATCTAAAATATTACGAATTTTATGCATTTAGGAATAAACAATATCTAAAAATCAATTAACATTTTTGTAAAAAATTCATTTTGTCATGGAAACAGGGGCATTGTCCTGCATATGGATATCACGTCCTCAAATATTGTGTTAGATGAACACTTCAATGCAAGATTGATCGACTTTGGTCTTGCACGTGAAATGAACGAATACCAGACAAAGGTGACACTTACTCAGAGTAAACCACATGGAACTCCAGGTTATACCCGATCAAAAACATCCACATCAAAGAAATATCTTACAGTTTATGATGATTACTACAATTTTGGTGTAGGTAAGTCATATATTGGTTTCCCTTCTTTTTAAATATTTTTTCCATTCTAAATATTACCAAACGTTGTTTTCTTTCAGTTATAAATAGTTTGTTTTTACAAAGCACATAGACAGGGCTGTTGGCAGAATTTGATGATGATAAATGACCACTTTTTGCACCATTCGTGTTGAGCGAAAATACAATCTGTTTCATCAAGCCCAAATATGTTTACATCGTTTAAAAAGTGAATTTAAATAAACCTTCACCAGCTTAAATCATTGCACACAAATTTCATGTGATGTAAACATGTTATATTCAATAGACACAAACATTATCATACATTTATTTGATTTTTAAGTTAAGAAGAATAGTAAGTAAAACAGGCAAATCCGTTGAATTTATATCCCCCGCCGAGTACTGGTTATTACTCACACAACAACTGAAGACATAAGTCTTTATTTATATATTTATAATGCCGTAAACAGTAATATTCTTTGTAATGATAAATATTCAGGGTAATAACAGAGTCATAACTCCATGTTAAAAAGTAATATCTGGACATGCCAATGAGATGGTTCCCATAAAGTTTTGTTGCAATCAATACAGCAGTTGCAAAGAAATAGCAACATTGCTCTATATGCATACTACATAACTAATCAAGGGCCATAATTCTGTAATGAAGGGTCTGGTTTCAACAAGGCAACAAATTGTGAACATCTCCTCTTGGTATTAATGGTTCCCATAAAGTTTAAAATGAATTCCAGCCAGTAGTTGCAGAGAAGTAGCGTGGAAACAATTATTGCTCTATATGCATACTGCTTAACTAATCAAGGGCCATAACTCTGAGTTAAACTGTCTGACCAAAACAAGCCAGCGATATGCGCATCTCCTCTTGATTTTGATGATTCCTCTAAAGTTTCATTGAATTCCAGCCAGTAGTTGCAGAGAATTAGCGCGGAAACGATTATTGCTCTAAATGCATACTGCTTATCAAATCAAGGGTCATATCTCTGAGTTTAAGTGTCTGACCGGAACAAGACTATGATATGCGCATCTCCTCTTGGTATTGAAGGTTCTCATAATGTTTTGTTGAATTCAAGCCAGTAGTTGCAGAGAAGTAGCTCGAAAACGATTATTGTTCTCTATATGCATACTGCATAACTAATCAAGGGCCATAAATCTGAGTTAAAGTGTCTGACCGGAAAAAGGCAACGATATGTGTATCTCCTGTTGGTATTGAAGGTTCCCATAAGGTTCCCATAAAGTTTCGTTGGATTTTCAGCCAGAAGTTGCAGAGAAGTAGCTCGGAAACGATTTTTGCTCTATACGCATGCTGCATAACTAATCAAGGGCCATAACTTTAAAGGTCTGACTGGAACAAGTCAATGATATGCTCATCTCCTCTTGATATTGAATCAAGGGCCATAACTTTAAAGGTCTGACTGGAACAAGTCAATGATATGCTCATCTCCTCTTGATATTGATGATTCCCATAAAGTTTTGTTGAATTCCATCCAGTAGTTGCAGAGAACTAGCGCGGAAACGAAATTCAGACGGACGGACGGATGGACGGATGGACAGCGCCAAAACAATATCCCCCTCCCGGTTCCATCGGCGGAGGATAACTATCAAGGTCAAACAACGTTTTTTTTTTCGATTTTGCTTTAGACAAAGATTGTTTTTTAACACTCATACATGTATAAATAGAGTGGAAGTTTTACAATTTATCAGAGCAGTGAGGCAAATTAAAGCTTAACATACCATAGTTACTTCTTAAGATATATAGCATAGCATTTTCTAGGTCAAATGCTTTCTTGTATTTATTATACGGCCGAAACGAAGTTTGGGGGGAATATAGGAGTCACCGGTTGTCGGTTGGTCGGTGGGTTAGTCGATCGGTCCAGCGGCGGTCAGTTGCATTTTCCTTGTCCGGACCATAGCTTTAAGAATAATGGTTTGAATGCAATACAACTTTATACAATGGTCACGCACATTGAGAGGAAGTGAAGTGCACAAGATCTATTACTCCATCTTGACTAATTACAGAGTTATTGCCCTTTGTTACTTTTCCTTGTCCGGAGCATAACTTGAAAACTAGTGGTACAATTTCATACAATGGTCAAGCACAATAGGAGGAAGTGCAGTGCACAAAACCATAACTCTATCCAGAGTAATTATAGAGTTATTGCCCTTTTTCACTTTTCCATGGCTTTTTTCTTGTCCTGTCACTCCATCGTGAATAATAACATAGTTATTGCGATATGA